GCTTGAGTAGGTGGGTTAGTGAGGCCCTGAGGCTCCATGATAGCTGCAACGGAAAGGGTAGAGATCGCCTGTGAAAAATCACGGACAAATTGAAAGTAGACCTGTTTCATACGGTATGCAAAACATCCTCAAGGCCATCCGTTTTCCTTATGATTCTGGTCGTTTCCACGCAACTTAAGAGATCCAGACATTAAAAACTCGAATGCCGTTCCGTTTGCACCAAAAGTCTATAACTACTTTTGATCGGCTACGCATAGAAATGTCAGAGTCCGAGATAGCTCGGTGGTTAAAAGCCTACACTACAGACCGGAAGGTCCGTGGTTCGAACTCAACCTCAGCATCTCGTCTGCTCCTGCGTAGGCTTGGGTAACCTGGCAGTATCCCAGCCCTCGTGCCTCCTTCCGTTGGAATGACAGCTAGGCAACGAAAGGGGGCTACAGCTTGAACGAACAAAGCTAGTCATGTTCTTTCTACAAATTTTTTCAGATGGATTTTTGTCTGTGTGTATGTGTGTGCCGGTTTTATAGGTAAATATGCATCGAGGAACAATCAGGTTAAGTGTGTGCCGGTTTTATAGGTAAATATGCATCGAGGAACAAGCAATCAGGTTAACTGTAATACGGGGATCAATGTGGTAAACGATTATTATCAGTATTACTGTTATTATCATTAGACTTTGACCGGAAGGTGGAAACTGGTGATCGTCACATGATGTTTAGGTAGCACAGAGATAGCATCTCAAACATTAAAAGATGCACAATCGTGACTTTGAACTCTGTGTTCTTTCTCTTCTTTTCCTCAAAGACGACCAAACCCAGCCATCTTTTGATCATCAATAAACATTACTTTCGTCAAGCTGCGAGTAGATAAAGTCATTCGCTTCGCTCAATTGACTCTGGATCTGTGCACTCCAGGCAGCCATGGAGGAGCATCTTTCAAGCAGCTTGAACGAACAAAGCTAGTCATTGTGTTCTACAAATTTTTTTCAGATGGATTTTTGTCTGTGTGTATGTGTGCCGGTTTTATAGGTAAATATGCATCGAGGAACAAGCAATCAGGTTAACTGTAATACGGGGATCAATGTGGTAAACGATTATTATCAGTATTACTGTTATTATCATTAGACTTTGACCGGAAGGTGGAAACTGGTGATCGTCACATGATGTTTAGGTAGCACAGAGATAGCATCTCAAACATTAAAAGATGCACAATCGTGACTTTGAACTCTGTGTTCTTTCTCTTCTTTTCCTCAAAGACGACCAAACCCAGCCATCTTTTGATCATCAATGAACATTACTTTCGTCAAGTTGCGAGTAGATAAAACCCGGTCATTCGCTCAATTGACTCTGGATCTGTGCACTCCAGGCAGCCATGGAGGAGCATCTTTCAAGCTCACGTGGTCCAAATGCGGAGGATGTGAGAACTCTTGCTAGACTCTTCTGAACGTCAACTACAAACTCAAGGTGCTTGTAATATGATGGACAACTTTCGCTTCCCGATGCGTATGGCAACCCCTCCTTATGCAAATCCACCCAGGAAGTCATTTACCGAGATTTTCGTCAATCACATTTCACTGGAACACAACCGTTACTCAGTTCAGTACTTCTGAACAAACCAACAACAACGGACAGTCGTGTGGCTTCGCTTTCGAGAATGCTTCATAGCCGGTTGAATCCGTGAGCATCGACTACACTTTGGGCATAACATTTTACTTGCCTTTTGGGTACAAAATCAAAAGTGAGCAGGGATGCAATGAGTAAGTACTACGGATGATACCAGTTGAAAATGTAAATGGGAGCTGAGAAATCAGACGGCCTTGATGGCGAATCGCACAATATGTTTGGCCTAGGTCCAAGGTTGTCGCCAGCATTTCTCGTGCCGCAACTATCTCTCCAAATCAGTCGAGATGGGGTCGAGATGGATCAATTGGTAAGAGAGCGAATTTACTGACCGGAAGGTCCGTGGTTCGAACCCGACCTCTGCTTCTCAACTACTTCCCCTGTTTAAGTTTGGGCAACCTGGCAGTATCCCAGCCCTCGTCCTTCCTTCGTGTGGCATGGCAGCTAGGCACCGAAAGGGTGCTACAGCTGAACGATTTATTATTTTTCGAATCAGTCAATTTGATTAGTTATTGTTTTCTCATTCACTTAAAGGTACACTTTAACTTCGAGTGTACCGTCCAAGAAATAGGCTATTCTTGGTTTGTCCGAGTATGACGTGATCAATGGATGACCAGAACACCAGTAATCATTACTCAGGATGGCTTTACGTTGCTGTTCCGTGGTCCTCAGCGTGAAATAATCCGAGTTAGGACAGATGCCAAGGTCTACGACATTCCAACGGAAAGCCGAAGGTAGCCTGGATAACATCATAGGATTGGGTGAAAACCACGTCCGGTCTGTTTGGTGGGAAGATGCCTCTCGGTGTGTTAACTCTACGATAGTGAATATCGCACAGGACAGTCGACTGATTGCTTAACTGTGACACGTCTTCAGTCATTCAGGAAATCCCGCATGATGTAGGACCTCGCCCGGTGCAGACGTCATTAGCATGGAAGGTATGATCGGACTCAAACTCCTCCTTTCATTACTCCAGACAAATGTATTGCGGCTATTTCCTGTGGGACAGCACACGGCTCCGTGATACCACACACTGCAGCTACTCATGCCCGAATACTCACGCGAACGGAGACACAGTCTTGTTTACAACGGCAGGCAAGGTAAATGGGCAGGGAACACGACGGCCTTCCGATATGTGGAATAAGTGTCGAAACCATTGGAGTTGAGGTTGAAGGTACGCAGAGGGTGTGGCAACTTTGTACGACTGCTGCATTTTGAGACCGTATCGAACCTTATCAAACTAGATTGTTTTAAATGCAATCATTGTATACCATTGATGGATTGCTTCACACTTTCACACCTGCTCACACCAGGATGATAGACTCGGACTTCGGAACTGAAGCTTATCTCCGGCCCACACCACAACAGATTCTTCCATCACCAAATGGTACTCTGGCATTGTCCATGCATGTTCACATTTTGCCCGATACTTGAGCACAGGTACAAACTTGATACTGAAATACCTTAGAGAGAACGGTGGTTCAAAGTTCGTTGAAAAAAAAACAAATATTTCGATCGAAAAACGTCGCTTACGAAGGGCACTCCAATTGTCAGTGAATCAGGCAGATTGACTAATTGACAAACCTACGCTCACAGTGTAGTGGCAGGAAAGTATGAACGAAATCGAAATCGTTCAGCTGTAACACCCTTTCGGTGCCTAGCTGCCATTCCACACGAAGGAAGCACGAGGACCAGGATACTGCTAGGTTGTCCAAGCCTAGACAGGGGAAGTCAAGAGGCAGAGGTCGGGTTCGAACCACGAAACTTCCGGTCAGCAAATTCGCGCTCTAACCACTTGGTCCATCTCGCTCCCCAGTGGGGACGCAAGTGAAATAACCCAAATAAATAAATAAAAATGGATTCGCTAAATCAATTGTGACTGCATGTTGTCGGTCAAGGGCTATACATTTCAGGCCATTAGCTAAACGAACAATCCTCTTGCTCTCACGAAAAGCCAAAAGGAGTGGATTCGAAGGAGTAAGGTGGATTTTTGCACACACACACACACAGGCGGCAACGCCGCCGTTCCGACATGGACTGACATTCTGCATCCCTTACCCTTTGTTATGTGGTGCTTGCACGCGTGCATGTAATGACGCAAAAGTATGCACATACAGACGCATCTCAGGTACGAGGTGTGATCCTAGCACACAGAAGTTGGAAAAACACTAGGTGAAAGGCAAAAAACTGACGTGATAGACAGCAATGTAAGGCTTGTGGCAGCGGGAGTTCAGTGTGCATCAAAAATGTACAAATGGTGGACGAAGAATTCAAGACAGATGTCAGATAAGCTGAGACAGATAGATAGTGATACCGAATCAATAACCCCATGACATATGTAGGATTCGCGTTTCGGATTTTGTTGGATTCATGACGACACCCGGCGTTTGTCGGCTTCGTGGGAACGCCGGAAAAAGAAACCCAACAATGTATTCATGGACCTGGATCTGAGCAAAAGTTCCGGAGCACGCTTTACATGCACACAAGGCTGGTCGGCAGCGACTAATTAGCATGGTTTCAGTAAAAACGAGCATGTTTTTTTCACAGCAGAACTCAATGAAATTGTGAGGTCAACCTGATATTGTGCTGTGCAACAGACACGTCCGCATGCAGTGTACCAATCCGAATTTCAATTGTTGCTGTACCACCTACATGCTTTGGAAAAATGGAATGGATCTAAGCCAGTGTGATGAGCTATTTTGAACTCTGTCCACTCTAGTCTACAGATGTTTTCCGTAGAAAATTGTATCATATTGTGAATATTCCACTTCGGATACACATGTGTCAGGGAAACGTAAAAATCATCAGAAAATATACGTACATTGGTGGGAGAATGTAGGCGATCTTCTTCAATCTCGGCAGAATACCATCTTAAACTGTCTGGTGGGTTTGACCGGCGATTTGGGTGTTGGACGGGTGGAGTGGACTGTGGGACCCAGACAGCCCCATCAGCTGCCATCTTTGCAACCACCAAATCGTGGGTTTCGATCGGATCTTCCCGGGCGAATGGTAGTATAGGATGTGGGTTGACCGGTTCCAGTTCATCTGGGGATTCATCATGAGGAGTCTGAAAAAGAAAGCCATTCATGTGATGATTCGATCCAAGACGTAAGAATACATATTAACGAGAAAGCAGGGATTGCATACCCTACATCTGAGTAGTACACTTATGGTCAGGTGTTAGGAACATCAAACAAATCAGGTGAAGAGCTTAGGACAAGCAGTGAGGAAATACAATCCATGCTAGGTGTGAGAATTAGCAACATCAACGAGGATTGGTCAGTGTTAGAATAAAGTGGGTGCGATCACGCTCTTGGCTGTGACTCATTTAGGTATTCCTTAATAAGTTATCCTATAGTGCTGACTATAGGCTATAGGGGCGAGATGGCTCAAGTGGCTAGAGCAGGAATTTACTGACCGGAAGGGGCGTGGCTCGAACCCGACCTCTGCCTGTCGACTTTCCCTGTCTAGGTTTGGGCAAACTGGCAGTATCTCTGCTCTCATGCTTCTCCAGGGTGGCATGGCAGCTATATAACTACATAACGGTCTCTCAGGGTGTCTTGGAATGACCAGACAACAAATACATGTACTGGACGATTGTACAGCGAACTAGTCGTGGACTGAACGCAAATAAGCCATGTCTAGTCGGAATATCGACAGTCGGAATTTAGCGGTCCTCGCTCAAACAACACCTCATAAAACATCAGACGGCTACCTAAATTATCCTTCATTAACATGTCTCAAAACACCGCACTTTCCGAGAAACGCTGGCGAGTGTTGCACATAGAGGATGTGCAAAGGCACAGCGGTGGAAAACCCCGGGCCATCTGTTATTTGACACAATAACTGAGTCCAACCGCGTCGCTTCCAGAAATTTGAAATGCCTACTGAGAAATCGGAGAAATACGGCGATGAAATGATGACACGAGATTTGGAGTAGAAAAACAGAAACCACTCACTGTGATAACAATCGAATTTGCGGGAAGAAGAAACGAGAATAAATCACGGGAAAGCCGTTACACAATTCAGTAGCTGATCATGATAGCAGTCATGCATACGAATATCCAGAGTAATTTACATTTATGAACACGTAGTCGATGGTTGGATATAACGAAGTAGATCCAGACCAAATGGACGTCGTTTTTTTTAAAGAAATTGATTTCTGTCTGCCCCAAGCACGACTTAAAAACTGGAAGTAAGAAAGCTGTCTCTGTAAAGTTGTTCTCCGGTACGACCACGTGCTCGCCATTGAGACTATGGGGGGGGACTTCTCCAAAGTACGATTACAGAACTGGATATCTTGAAAATATTTACAAAAGAGAGTACTGTATCTATCAGACAGTCGTTTAGGATGGTGAGTCTAAGTTAAGAATCGAAACACAGGTGAACAGCTCATGCGAAGTATGCAGTAAACGATTTCTGGTTGGGAGGGATGATTTCTAAGTGTCTAGAGGTGGAAGTGCCGTTTGATTTGGATAGCTACAAAACTGAAAGAGAAAGACTTCCATTACCAAAACAAACTACAGGACTCCACCTCAAGCTAGACTTCCTGGTTCGACCACGAGCCAATGTGAAATATGGCTCAACAGTTTAAACTAAAAAGTTAACCAGCCATAATTATCGAGTGCATCATTATCACCATCGCCATCAAATTCAGCAGTAATGAACGCGCACATGTTGTACAGTGGTTACAGATGCCACCGTTTTGTTCGCCCATGATCCTAGGAGGTGGGGATGGATAGTTACGCACTGGATGCGGTAGCTGGTCTAATTGATGCGCGAATACAGAGGTTTCTGTGGATTTTTTATTAGGGAGATTGGAAGGGGAAGTTATGCATTGAAGGCAACAGTTTTGACGGAGTGTTATCCGATTCGAGGATTTTTTCGTCGGAAGGTTTGAGCATAACCGACGGGGAATGCAGTTATGTACTCCCTGAGAGAATGATGTGGTGGACAACGCTGTTGTCAAAGCATGAGAACCAATTTGAGGGAACCTCAGTTTCATAATTTTTCATAAGTAGCGGGATTTGTACGATCTAACGCCCAAAAGATAGGGAAAAATTTCGCACATTATAAGAACAGAGCTAACAAAAGCACAGCGCAAGTGAAGGTGGACCATTTTGTTGCGCAAACAGTCAGCCAGTTTCTTGCTCACTATCGTTAGGTGGAAGAACACCTTTAACACTCACCTGATGCTCTGGATCGGAGGTACGGTCCTCCGGGATGGGTAAGCCGTCTGGATTAGAAACGCTAAGACTTGATGATTAGTTTCCTGACTGATATAGGTCTTGTTCGGGAACACCAATCCCCGAATAGATTTGAGCCTCAAACTCACGAAATTCTTGGAGTAAGCTGTCGTTATTCGACAGTGTACTTTCGGGGCGACCCCGCCCCGTGGGCGAACGAGTCATGTGTAGTTCGGTAGGGAAATATATATGGGCTGAAACCGAAAAAATATCGCAGAAAAGTAGTTCACAATGCTCTTGATTGGATGTACGGTTCTCCGGGATGGGTAAGCTGTCTGGATTAGAAACGCTACGACTTGATGATTGTGCAATTTCCTGATATAGGTCTTGTTCGGGAACACCAATCCCCGAATAGATTTGAGCCTCAAACTCACGAAATTCTTGGAGTAAGCTGTCGTTATTCGACAGTGTACTTTCGGGGCGACCCCGCCCCGTGGGCGAACGAGTCATGTGTAGTTCGGTAGGGAAATATATATGGGCTGAAACCGAAAAAATATCGCAGAAAAGTAGTTCACATTACATTCTAGTTAGCCCCCGTCATACTGTCGCACTTAGTCATCATCTCCGAAGTCTTACTACCAGGAAACCTTTCTAGCATCACCAACGAGCAAACTGACCAGATTTGGTCGCAAAGGGAAGAAGCACATCGGCGAACTGTTTAGAACACATAACATTATGAAAATGCAAGCTCAAACGTTGATTTCGAAAGCGTGATAAAAGCTTTAAAATAAGCAGCCGGGAGCTTACATGTGAATTCGTTTGTCACGCTGGTCTGGGAAATTACCGATCATTTCGAACGGCACCTTCTCTTCGTTCCATATGGTACCAATCAGCTTTGTCATATGGGTCACAAGGGATATTCCGCCTTCTTTGAAGAGGGATGGATAAAACCGTCCGGTAATGGTGCCTTCTCACGTTTCAGTAGGGCTATTTCTTCCGAAGGGCGATCAAGGTTCACATTCCATTCGCCCGTATGTATTATCTCCACAGGCTGTGTTGTAGGAGGCCAGCTGAACTGCTCTTCGAAGTGTTCGGTCCATCTTTCCAGTCGACGTCTTTGCGAATGAATTAATGAGCCATCTTTCACTTATCGTTTCGCTGATGCTTTTTTAGGGCCGTATCAGTTTATATAGGACACGGCTGTTTCCCGTAGCAAAAGCCTCCTCCATCTCCCGAGCTTTTGATGTCCACCAGAAATCTGTCTTTCCTTAGACTTTTCACCACTTGGTGTTTGAGAGGTTTGCATGCGCCGTCATATTCGTTGCCTGCTGGTATGGCTTTCCTGTCTTCAATCATGGATAACGACCTCAATGACATTCAGTGGTCCTGTGATCGAATTAGAGAAGTCATACAGACAGCAGTGAATGCCGCTAACAAAGCTCCTTCCACATTTTCCACACTTCATCCACATGCTCACTGCCACCACAGTTTACTGCGGAGAGTTGTTGGGCTAGCTCAAGTCGATACTGTTGATCTATGGTAGTTCTTCGAAGACAGTGGATTGGCATTCTTCTTTCTGACTTACGAGGGCCTGAAGGGAGACGAGCTGTCAAGCGAGCACGCACCATGGCGTGATCGAAATAAAGTGATGTGCCCCAGAAGGAACGGCAGTCTTGAATTGTGGCTCTCCACCGGCGACTGATGGCCACGTGTTCCAACTGGGTTCGCGATTTAATTTGCAGTTGGTGGCCGCTAGGTTACGCGGTAAGCTCGTACTTGCCAGAAACAGTTTATAATCAGCACACACCTGAAAAGTCCTATTGTCTGTGCGGCGAGCATCGACTCCGAATCGACCACTCAAATGTGATTCCAAGGAGCTCAGGCGACCTACTTGAGCATTCAAATCGCCTGCAAGGATCACAATATCAGTGCATTTTGCTTGACGAATGAGCCCGGATAACTCTCGATAGAAAGTATCCTTCTTCGCCTCAGAACTGCAATCCGTTGGGACATAAGCCGACACTACAAACAAGCACCGCTTTTTATGCTGACAGGCATTGAGCTTGATTGAAGTGGATAACTGGACGGTGCAAAACGACTGTTCACTGGAATCCAATCCAACAGAGCGCGCTCAGCTCTGAGGCTGAGTGCAACTCCCACGCCATATATTCCAAGAGTAATCGCTTCTGGGTCACCAGACACACGGAGGGAAAATGCATTCTGAAATGCATAACCACGCTAGGGTCTTGTGTGTGTGTTTCAGAGGCACAGTATACATCAAGTTTAAGGGAGTATAAGGTATGTCAATTTGACATAGAGTTCGGACGTTACAAGCTCTTATATAGAAAGGATTTCGTGGATTTGGAAGGGTGTCATTTTGTTTATTGTTAGTAGGTATCGAGGAGTATAAGTCCCTGAGGTCAGATAGCTGATAGTCAAATGGCTCAGCGACGTTTGTTTGTGTGGTGGGAAGGGGTTGGGGAGGGATATAGGTGGACACAGAATCGCGCGGTCAAATGATACTTCCCGGTTACCCATGCCGAGGGAGGGGGTTTGGTTGAGGTACCCCACCTTGAGCCTTTGACTCAAAAGTCTGACCCACAAGGCAGTGGGAGAATGTAGGGTTTTTTTTGGAACCTTGCCCAGAACCAGCTCGGCTGTATGGGGTTGGCACAGGGAACAAGGCACAACTGTTTCATTCCTGATGCAGCTGCACACAGCAGGTACCTTTTGAGCAGCACCGGACTCTTTCGGTTTTAAAAGTATTTCGACCGTACTGGATAATGCGCCGGCGGTCACGGTCGACCATTGGACGATCGGTGTACGGTTTTGGGGACCGATCTTTTCTAACCCGTCCTTTTTCCGGGGAAGGTAGCATCTCTGCTTCCATTAATATGGACATGCTTGTCGCCTGGGGTAAACACCTTACTCCCTTCACACCTCTATCGCAGGGGAAAGTAAGACTTTACCCCCGGACCGCCTCGTAGCATGATTACTCGTAGTACGGGGTCTCGCTGCTCTTGATCTGGCTACTCCTCTTTGGTCTTCCTGGCATGGAACGGAATTCCAGCCAGTGTAACCCGCGGGATTATTGAAGCACTCAAGCCCGACCACCACATCAAGGTGGCAGCTTTGGGTCGGGTGAATTAGTTCTGATTCATCATCATCAAAGACAGCAAAATCAGTGCAGACACTGATGCTTCATTGCCGTACAACCACAAGGTTCGGCTAAATATATTTAAAGCCCTAGAGTGAAAAGAAGGGAAAAAGAGTGGATGATGGAGAGGACCTAGTACTGACCTCTGTCAAGACCACACTTCCAAGCGCTCAATCGGACAATCTGGAAAGAAACTGACAGCACGAACGCCACTCAGATCGACTGACCGCCATTTCTTGCAACGTCTTCAGCCAAGCACAGGTGGGGTCAGGGGGGCCCCATCCTGGAAGGCGTACAACGCCAAAAACACCCACACTCTTTGTGATCTCTTTCACGCCCTTCTACCAAGTCATGCATTGTCCACCTCGCGGTTTGTGCCATTCTGAGTGAGGCACGGAAAAAAACACTCGTCTCGGTAGACAGTGTTTCGGCATGTGTAGTACAAGACCAAGTCATCGTATTCGGTGATGCTGGATGTTTTCCACAACTGAAGTACATGCCACACAACCAAATACCTGTTTTCTAATCACCTCGTTACTAGCACGCTGACACCATCCAAAACCAGCCACGCTTCTGAGGCATCGGTGGTCGAAAACCCGGAGACGCCTCAAATCATCTATCCCCAGAGGTCATGCCTCACACCCATAAAACAGTCCATACTGTAGCCTGGTACAGGTTACCCTTAAGATCTAGTGATATTTTTGACACCACAAGTGATGCGAATTAGCAAACGTGATTCGAGCCTTTGAGATTCTCGCACTGACTTCATCAGACACATTTCCGTCAGAGCTAATACAACTACCGATGTAAAACATTTTCTGACTGTAGTGTGACAGACGAGGTCAGTGCACGAATCTGCAAGGCCCGGGTCCCGTTTGCTAATTTGAGACGCCTATGGCATCAGAGTGGTGCATCCCTGAATCTAAAAGGACGTGTGTATCAAGCTACAGTGCGGGCCGTTTTGTTGTATGGCTGTGGGACTTGGCCTGTTCAAGCAAAGGAACTGAAACGTCTTCAGGTGTCCGGTACTCGTTGTCCCAGAACCATAAATCATGTGGGCTGGTGTCGGCGAACCCGTAACGAGGTAAAAAGAAAGCGAGTTTTCGGTTGTGCAACGGGTACTTCCATTGGTTGTGACATGTGTCGCGTATGCCGAAGCATAGTTTGCCGAAGAGAGTGCTGTTTTCCATGTCCAACTCAGATTGGTGGAAGCAGAGAGGAGACCAACCCTTGACCTGGCAGAGCGGCATGAAGGAGAGTACGAAACATTTGGGTGCTGTCGGTGCTACTTGCCTTCCAGGACCGCATGATCTCCACTGCGCCTGGTTGGAGACACTTTCAACCGATGTTAGTGGCGTCTTTTGTTGTCTGTTTCTGTCCAGATTACCTGAATGAGTGACTGGAAGTGTAGGTACCTCGGAGTGATTGTCGTAAGCTGGCACTAAGCCCATTCCCCGTTCACCTTTATTCTTCTCTTCACAATAGGGCTTTCAAATGAATAATGGTTGTACGGCAGTGAATCATCGGTGTTGAACACAGATGTTATGCTGTCGATGATGATGATGCTTCGAGCAATTTCAGTGCTGTCCGATATCCAGGTTGAGCGCCCAGAATCTTACTGGCTTCCGGACAGTGCCTTTCAATAAGGGTCAAAAGCAGAAGTCTTGTTCAAAAGGGACTTTGGCAGGTGGATCCGGTGGACTTGTTTCACATCAGTGTCCGATAGCTGCTCAACGGCCTCACGATGTGGGCGCATCTTGAACGCCTTTGAAAAGCGCAACGAGAAGCAACGACAAATAGACAAGAAATCTGAATCCACATAGGTGTTCCAGAAAGCGCGGTAATCAGTAATTGACCCACGATACCCACAGCTTGTGGGGGCGTGGTCCGTATATCGTCAAGAAAAGCCATACCGGAAACTAGCGGCTGCGATGGCTCACGAGGGTGGATTGCGGAGATGGTGAAGTCCCTCGCCATAGGCAATACCGACGCCGCGCTGGTTGATTCGACTAACCAGCTTAAACAATACAGGTTTCCGCGAAACAATGTGTGAATAAAACAGAACGAAAATTCACTTGAAAAATCACCGTTTTCAGCAATGGACTGGATAATTAAGAGGAAAAAGGAATCGGTCTTCTTCAACACCTAACAAATTTGAAGGAACCATCGACACCACCCCCACCGCCAACAGCAGAAATGCAAATTGAGATATCCCACCTACGTGAAAAGGCGCCCGGCCCAGATGGCATGCATCTCGCACTCTTAGAAGGTGAATAATGTAACAAACCTAATGTAAGATTTGGAACGAAAACAGAACATTGATGGAATGGAGCATCCCAACCGTGATCCCAGCCTTCTAAAAGGCCACAAAAACATCATGCGAAAATCATCATAGCTTTAGCCTGGTGGCTGTCACGTTCGGGGTGGTCTCCAGCATTATTCAGCACAGGCTGATTGATTATCTGGAGACACGAACTCGTGAGAACCGAGTTGAATTCCTATATAACCGAAAATGCATCAACCATATCATTGCCTTGGGACAAGATCTTGACAACCACCACCCTTCCAAACGTTCCACGTTGCTTGTTTTTCTTAATTTTAAGGCTGCTTTGACTCCGCCGGTCGTCCGGCAATCCAAAATATCCTTTCCAAACTTACATCCTTTATGAGAGCACTGTACGCGAACTCCTATGAGCGCGTACGAGTAAGCAGTAAGTTTTTGCCAGAGCTCACCGCTCCCAACCGTGTAAGTCAAGGCCGGCCTCTCATCCTTCCTCTTCAACTTTGTTATTGGTATCCACGTCTGAGGTTTTGGGGATCGAAATGTTACTGGATCGATCGCCCACAGACATCGAGTGTGTGGATGATACTTCTCTCTTTGGTTTAGATCCTTCAAAATACATAACACTGCACATAACCCGAACAGTTCTGCAACCAGATTGGGTGATAGGTCACCAAGAGATGAACGGTGAATGACCTAGCAACGAATTATGGGAACACTGACCAGTAAACTCAGTAAACTCGTCTTCGGCGCGTAGCTGTCCATTTTTCAGAACTAACTGAACATGCCATCGTTTTCATAGCTCGGTTATATCTCTTACGCAGTCCCATTTCCCGGTGACCGGAACTGCATCTTGTGTACAAGATTTGTAGCTGGTGAACCGACTCAGCGACTGGCCAGTTAAAGTTGAGGCGAGATGACTCAAGTGGTTAGGGAGCAAATTTACTGACCGGAAGGTCTGTGGTTCGAACCCGACCTCTGCCTCTCGACTTCCCCTGCCTAGGCTTGGGCAACCTGGCAGTTTCCCAGCCCTCGTGCAACCTTCGGGTTGCATGGCAGTTAGGCACCGGAAGGGTGATACAGATGAACGATTTTTTCCAGTTAAAGTTGCTGTTGGCATTTAGACGATAATACGTAAAGAGGCGTCTGCCTGGTGGTCAGTAAGAAATGACCAGTTAGAGGCCTAGCTTCTGGAGGCCATCCTGATATCGGTTAGACATTGGTTGAAAGTCTGCCATCACTGTCAACCAGACTGCGGGGAGTGAACTACAGTCCGAAACTACCTCACCCAGTGATGAGACTGCGAGTTCAGATAAGGAGACGACTTTGGTCCCAACGAATCTTACGCTCAACCATATAGCCAACCGTAGCATTAGTTATTTGAAGAAATATGAGGTCTACATCCAGGCAATTCGGGGGGATCGTTCAGCCTAATCCTCCACTTCACCATCGTTCATTTCAGATGCACTCAGTACCTTTGTATATTTTATAACCGGCACACCTATACAGTATTATATGACCACACTAGACTTATACACAATCCGTTTTACTCATTCTGACGCACAAGTTTATTCGCTGGAGTGAGTGGTAACATCTGTTGTCCGCCTTAGTTATCTGCACTGCTACGCTTCGTTTCTATACTCCGACTACCGTATCATTCCTATCAAAAGTATAAAACCGAACCTGTGGAACGCTATAACTTGTTAAGATCCTATACTGATACTTTGATATGCGGCAATCAAAGTGTATTTCTGAAGAATGATTAGGGGTGCTGTGGCGCGCAAAAAACCAGGACCAACACCACCCGCCCACCCTATCGAACACTTCGCTGAAGTTTATGAACGCGGCTCAGCCAACTTAACCGAGCTTTCGAACGCCAGGAGCAAGTTAGTGACGTGTAACCTGTTAGACATGAATCAATGCTGTTCTGATCCCTGCAGAGCGCTTTTTCCAATATGACGCTGCAGTAGTCCCTCTACTCATTTATCTATGACTTTCCTGATGAACTAACCGATAACTGGTGGGATCGTGTAGGTTGATATCACTGTAGAGCGGCCCAAAAGTAGTTTCCTTCCACATTGAAGAGACGATACCTGCTTTCACCGATTGGCTATAATCAGTGGAGAAAGTGAACCGAAATATCCACCAGGCAGCTTGGTATCGTCAAATCAGTCTAATCAAACCCATGGGTCTTCCGTTCGTTCAAGTATCATGAAACCTGGGCACCTTTGATCAGCGTGCAATGGACCCATCATCACTAGCTGGTTCCATATGTTCCGGTACTTCAATAGACGAGATATAAGGAGTATTTTCGACCGGGCGGCACTGATGGCTTCACGTTGTCACGCACGACCTAACTCGACGCATCCCTCAACGAAGATAATTTATCAGCATTCCGGACTATCCGATTGGTGAAGGGATACATTTGGCGGGATTTTACCTTGGTATTTTCGATTAAGCGAGATCCATAGGCTTCTTCACTTGATCCCACTGGCTTCAAATTTTCTAGCACACGTCGCGTGCTGTTATTCCCGCACAATCTAAGCGTTCGATGTCCAACTTGTAGCCCTCGGGAGAGATGGACCAAGCAGTTAGAGCGCGAATTTACTAACCGGAAGGTTCATGCCTCGAACCTGACCTCTGCTTCTCGACTTTCTCTGTCTAGGCTTGGGAAACCTGGCAGTATCCCAGCTCTCGTGCTTCCTTTGGGTAGCATGGCAGCTAGGCATCGAAAAGGTAGAACAGCTGAACGATTATTTTCCACTGAGTCGGTCCACCAGGTGATAGAACCTTCAACTTCTTCAACTTCCAAATTGCTGAGCTTCAAGCCATCCAACGGCTTATTCCAACACACATTAGGGAGTTTTACATTCTGTTTTATGAAACCTTGGCCTCCAGTTGATGCTTGAAACTGACCGGCTGATGTAACACTTTTTAGGCTCTGGTGAATAATGCCCACCAAAACATTGACTGCTTCTGACCTAGCTATTAAGTGGGTAATCACATCAGATAAACCACCAGTTCTATGTACAGAGGACTGTTCAGGGCTGACCTCTCGAACAGCAGGAGGGACGCCTCCTCGACAGAAGCCGAAACCGTTAGCAGTCTCAAACGTGCTTCACCTTCTGTTTTATCCCCGACACAAATTTATCCAAACCCCTCATCATCACATTGGGAAGCTTGTTCATCACCGAATAAAATCCGACTACGTCGGCACCATATAGTCTCGGCTCTCTGGATGTTCAATTCAGGGAGAGAGAACACCATGACGCAGTTCTCGAAGGAGGACTCTGTTTCTGTTGCCCATAGTGACTGAACAGCTTTCTCAAGAAACTCGATTCACTTAGGTTTGAATACATAGACCATTGAAAGCAGGACCTTAGCTTATTCTTCTGGATCATTCGGTGGATTCAGTGGTTTTTTGTTCGGCTTCTGTCTCCCTCGGGAGTAAGACAAATCTCGCCAGGCCTAACCGTGACGAAGTTGCCAGTAGCGTGCCTACGAGATATGGATTTGAAGTCAGGTCTGGAAGGGGTCTCTAAGCCATAGCAATCCAGGCATTCAACTATGGCGCTATTCATCATATCGTTGGCCACAAACGTTTTAAGTTCCGGGTAGATATCAATAGTACATGAGAGTTGATACGACTGTACCTTGGGAAGAGGTTGGTAGGCACTCCTCCACACTGTAGAGCACGTAACTGCAATCACATCGTGACAAAGTGGCTGACCTTACGTCATTTTGAAGTCTAGCTGCGTTGGGCATTCAATTACACTGCCTGGCGCGCGGTTCATGTTTTGATCACACTTCGTGACAGCCAATCTGATACGGTGCTATCTACACGCTTGATTTAGTCGAAATCCGTGCCCGAGCATGGGGGCTTGATTGGACAGTTGGGACAATATGACGTCTGTAGGATAGGGGACGTCTGGATTGCTGCGTAACTGTTGGCCTGGTTGCCGAGTCTTGCAGTTGGACAGAAAACGTTTCGTCACCAACAGAGGAAACATCAGTGCGTGTAGGCCGTTTACCGTGCCACGGCGCCAATACGACGTAAAACTTACCACAAGAAGAGGCCAACACGATGCGGACGGCACAAATGTATGGCGAGCAGGGCGCGGGTCAGAGGAGCCGAACTCGGATTGGTCGCCTTGTGAGCCAATCAGACTCTGGATTTTGGCTGGGGAACTTGTGGCCATAGGGTTTTCCAGGAGTTCTAGCTAGAACAAAGACCATCCACGTCAGAAGCTTCGGAAGGGCTGATTTATCGGGCGATACCAGTAAGGTAAGACCTGGCCTTCGGGAATCTTTGTGAGGCTCTGAAAATGAGCTTAACCAAACAGCCCCTTACAAGTTCATCATTTGAGATGTCCTGCCTCGATGTTCATAGTACACATTCCTTTAAGTGCTTGTGACCGCACATCCGAAGTTCCTCTGAGGCGTTATACAAACCGGCGCTGGCGTGACCCTCTTCTGGCTGATGTGATCCATTTTGGGAATAGGCTTCCCACGATGACAACCTGAGCTATAAAGTTTCATGACTTCAAATGCACCTTGGGTTGTCAGTTTTCCGGACTATTTTCCCTGGAAGATCAAACCCATACCTTTGTTCCGGATCCATTCCAGCTGCTTGATGGCACTAACTTCCGCCTTAATCACATTCAGGCACCCTTCAGATCCAACGTGCCGTTGCCGCGCGAACACAGTAAGTTTTGCGTCCTCTAGGTGTACGGTAGCCCCAACAAACTCGCGTTACGTCCGATACTCTTCACTCCTTTCATTCATTCCTCATTCTTCCCTTCAGTCCCATTTCTTTCTGCGCTGCAGAAAACTGAGTTATCCTATAGGGAGCTCTTTCCGGGGTCCGTCCAACCGAGGAAGCGGCCTTCACATGTCCGCTGGACTGCTCAGCTGTTCCGCCCGAGTAGCTCCACTGAAAACTACATTTTCCTACTCTGCCAAGTCATTAAGATCAACATGAGTAAAAATCCAACACTGTGGCACGATATTTGTCCTCCCTTTTCTCTGTTTTCAGACATGTCACTCCAAATTAGAAAAGGTGCTCCCACTCCAGATCCTCCGACACTGATCCGCAAAACCGGACCCCTGGCATAATTCCCCCTTAAACGAACCCCGTGCGCACTCAAGCCACTGAAATCGTTGAATCAGCTGCAAGGAGTAAATCCTATTTCTCCGACTCAAATAACTTCTGGGAAACTGATGCTGCCGTTCGAAGAAGCTTGCGCCTTCCCAACCTGAACGCTAGTCCTCTGTAGCGAGTCATGAAGACCAGCAATTCATTCAAACAACCGTCCCACACGTTTATCCTTCCCAAACTACCGTATGTGCTCGGATAGACGCATCCATTTCATCCTCCTTTCCCTCAGCTGGCGTGCGGTTACCAGCGCTTCCTTATGCATTCTACTGCCGCACCCCTCGTGCCATCCCATTGTCCTCCGTTTCCCTATCCACATTTATGTCCACAATATCCTATAGCTCGTTTCCCAACAACAAGTCACCCAACTATGTGCATCCCTGCAGTCTTTACCGATCCTTCATTAACTACTGCACCCAAACATTCAGATGCCAAACGATATTCCTAACCCTATCATGTATCCTCAGCCAAGTGTAAGCCTGTGACTCATTTCTACCCTTTCAGCGACTCGTCGATTAAATCTACGATCATCTTCCGCAGTCCTTCCTCAGTCCATTTCATCTGCATTAGACTGGTAGGTGTTTCAAAAAATTACGAAAGACTGTTTTTCCGTGTCTCCTTACTTGATAATGGTCTTTTGATCATGATTGTGACTAGATGTTCAAGGTCGTATCGGAGAGCGCCTTAACTGCAGAGCAGTCCGACTCCGCTGGTTGTGCTCGTGCTTGCACGCGTGGCGTCGTTGCTGCTTCCTTTGAGTTCAGAATTCTCCCACCTCTTTTTGCAAATGAAGACCTTTTATTATTATTATTAGTAATAATAATAACAATAATGTTTATTCCCAAGTTGTATGTGGCATGCCATCTGTCATGATCATGCTTTTACAGTCAGAATGAAGCATGGCTGGGGGAATTCGTGGGGGTGCGGATTGCACAAAATGAGGACAGTGTCCTAAAGTGGGGAATATCCGATGAAATAGTAATAATAGTTTTTTTCCCAACTTGTTGGGAACAATGGAATTAGGTCCGACTAGTTCAAGGACATAGCCAGCCGACATGAACTAAAGCTGGAAACCACTGCTGGCCATGAGTGACCCTGAGCGGTTAGGAAAATGGCCGGAGTCACAACGAGTAAAAGTGGAGATGGAGATGGGATAATTCGGATTGATGGCACATGTGCGAGTTTTGTTTCAAAAATGTGGTTTAATCCGAAAGTGAGCAGGCTCACTGGTTCACTGTTGCAGGGAAGTCAGGTGTAGGGGATAGGTTGGATGGGGGCAAGTTGCCAATACATAGGGTAACCCGAACACCGTATACGGATTTGAACTTGTGAAGAAGGCAAGCCGAAATTGCAGCAGAAAAACCATGCTAGCCATATCTGAGCGGAAATTCATCGAATACGGAAAAGCTCACCCAGAGAAGGGGCCGGATGAAAAATTTGCTCGATGTTGTGGCTACAGGCTTGAGCGGGAGAGGGATTGCGGTCGAAATTATGGAGAAAATACTTGCGGGAGTGCCATCTCATTGGGTATGACAGTGCCATGCCATCATCGCGCTTACATGCTTCGGTTTATGGACAGCCCCTTAACGGTCGTCAAGGGTCGGAGAAGGGATACGCAGTTCCGTGGCAGCTGGTTCTGGGTGAGACGGAGATTGACGGAGAGCCATGCAGATGTAGGCTCACGGATAATTCCCCTTTCGTTAGAGGACCATGTGAGTGTAGACCGGACGCCAGCCATTTTGGATGAATAACAGCTCTACGGGGCATTTGGGCAACTGCAGTCGAGGTTTGAAACTTGGGAAGAGGGGCGCCGAGAAAGAAATAGAATGAAAGCAGTAGCGTGTGGCGAACGTCAGGAGGCTTAAGATAAAACGGTGTCAATAGAAAAAAATTTAAAAGGGGATGACATCAAGCTAAATGGACCCAAGAAAGTTGAATAACTTTGCCGATCTAGAAGCTAAGTACTAGTTAGGCCAGAGTAGGTGCCTAGTCTTAGGAAGGTGAGAAATTTGTCGTCGAGGTAGCCAGCAGGGAGGATAGCTGTTGGGCTATGTGGGAACGGACGGTAGCCATTGGCTCACTAATGCATCATGACATAGGGCCCTTGTGCAGAACAAGGGGTCAATGTGAGCAGTGACAGTAGACAAGTAGAAAGAAGACAAGCGACAGCTTCCCAGATAATTAATAAGAATCTTAGCTTAACTGAGATCTACTACGTCAACCAAACAGGAAAGTAAGGTTAAGGATCACCAGTCGCCGAGACACTGCTATCAAATCCAAAAAATATCCATTTAGTGCTAGCCGTGACTGCTTGTAATCAGGAAATGATAAGTTGTTAGCATTTTTGTGCATATGACCGCTCTAGATGACAAGAGTGGAGAGCGTGTGTGCTATGTTTGGATGATGAAGTGGACTAGGGATGGTGTGACACAACTATGACAAAAGTGGCAACACCTTGCACGTCGACGTTAGCCGTGTGCCTCAGACAGTACCCTCAAGCTATCCCATGCATAAATGCTTTTTATTTTATAATTTTTTAAGAACAAACAGAAGGACAGCCGTCGTCCGCTTGTATATCTTGGTGTTGTGTGACCACCGGAACAAGGCCAATCCAGCTACAGACAAACAGCAACAGTGCTCTCATTTGGTTTTCCTGAATTAAAGGCCAGGCTCAGAACCACCGGCGATGGTTGATACACCCGTGCTACTGGAGGGGTGGCGAGTATACCAACGCACCAAGGTGCAACGTAACAGGGCAACCCTCCCTGCAGGGCGTACCCGTCCATCACATGAGGTTTTCATTCCTCGTGCATGCTATCAGATCTGTAAGGTGGAAAACCGTCCAAGCAGTCATAAGTGCGGTTTGTGCATTAATAAATAAGTCTAGCTACCAAATATTTTATCCGGTTAGGAGAAAAGCCAAGCCAGTAAAACAGCTCAGTCATTTTGAACAAGCAAACAGCCAATGGAAGAGGCAAGTTGCGGAAGTAAATGAAACATCAGCTACCTTTTGGGCAACGGGAGTAGAATGGAGATGTTCAGAGCCTGTGTATTATGGCCAAACGAAGATGAAACATTGGTGTAAATCACTGTCGAGTAGAGGCGCGCCAGCGTTACGTGTATGTGTGAATGATTGAGCTGTGGTGCCAAACAAATATTTCATTCATAATGCATCTTTAGACCCACTATTTGATATGTGTGCACTGCGCCTGTCCCGGGGTTGCAGAATGGTTTAGAACAGCGAGGAAATTAGGCCTCAGCTCGGCTGAGGTTAGTTTAATCCAGTCAAGCAAAGCACCAGACATTAAACTAAGCTGACGGAGTTACTCAAGGATGGGACCAGGCTTGAAGAATTAGGTATAATTTGGCTGGGTGCAAAAGCTTGAGCCCGGAGGAAGGAAATACAACCAGGTCAGTGGAGACAGGCTTGACGACAATTACGATGGCAGGCGCTAGACATTCTCTTGCTTCAGAGAGCGGAAGATGTAGCCGCAGGAAGCGAAAGTCTGCATGAGATAGATAAAGTGGTAAGTTATATATAAGAACACTCGGGAGGGTGGCTGTCGCACTTGTGGACTATTGCTAAGGGTTTTAGCTGGTGACTGTAAGTGCTAGGGGTTAGTAACAGAACAGTCAGGGTGAGTGCGCAGATTAGAAGGGCTTAGGGCCTATTTCAAAAGTTTCTAGTGTAAGCAGAGAAGCGAAAAAGCGCTCAGCTCCCCCAATAGGGAGGTAAGAATCGATGGCCTTTCGAAAGCTTACATGAGATGAGATAGTACGATCATGGGAGAGGAGCTTGTTCCACGGTTTGGAATAAAGGCAAAGGAAAGTTTTGTCTAAACATAGTTCGATATGCTGACAGTGGGAATAAACATCCAGAGTTACGGATATTATAAGGAGTACAGGGAGAAAATTCAGGGCAACAATCAGCTATGTATGTCCGCCTGTATATCAGGCGATGCAGAAGGCCTGACGCGCCTTAGCCATAGTGGATCCAGCTCGAATGACAAGCAGGGAAGACGATACCGGAACAGGGACTTAGTAAACGAACGCTGCACATTCTCCACTGCAATCCGGCATGTCTGTGAATATTGTGAGGCGAATTCAGGGCTGGATTCAAGAGTGAGTCTTATAAATTGTTTAAAAATGGTTTTTCTTCTAACCGAACTGCTCCAAAGTGCTCGCATTCGTTGCCATCCCTTATTTCATCACGGAAGAATTTGTATTGCCCTCCAGATTTCCACTATCTTCATTCAACCAC